CACACACACACACACACACAGGTCCGGTGTGTGTTTAATGTGAAGTGTATGTTTGAGTGAACAGGAAGGAGTTCTTACAGCAGATCAGCTGTGACAGAAGCTGATGATTTTCTGTCACCTACAGTCAATACAAGACGAGCATCTTTGGTTTTAAGCCACATGAGCTTTAAAATCATGTCTGCTAAAAATAAAAGATTAATAATGACCAATTTAAGTTATTAATGGGCCGTTCAAAAATAATAATTAGCTCCCTTTTTCTGCCAGATCATTGGACTTGTGGCCTCAAGGCGTGTGGCAGATGTTGACCAGATCTCCTACATCCTGATAAACACGTGCACGTTCAGGTCAGGTTTGTGTTCACTGATGGCTGACACTTTCTCTGGGTGTGTGTGTGTGTGTGTGTGTGTCTCGCTCTTTCAGTGCCAGCAAGTGTGTGTGTGTAGAAGAAGAAAAAAATCGATGGCAAAGCTTTGTGCCAGCCCCCGAGCCATGCAGGTCCCCGTGGACCGGCTCCGTTTATTGTGCTCCAAAAAAGGCAATTACAATGTTAATGTGTCGCAGCAGGAGAGTGAACCCGACCAGCAGCGAGGAGGAGGAGGAGGAGGAGGAGGAGGAGGAGGGGACGTGAAAAGGTTGATGGAGAGAGTGGTGTCACAGAGGGTTAATAGGGAAATGGTGTCTGGGGAGCATTCATAGACAGATAAGCAGTAAAAAAAAAAGTTCATTTAAAGAGACTCGTTACAAAACTGTGAAATAAAAGATAAAATCATAAAGCACAGGAAATGATGCAGTAGTTTTCCCAGTTATGTTGACGTGTAATTCTGAAACACAGGTACGCACTCAATGTAAACAAAGCACTTCAATCGGCATGTTTTACTCAGCAAATTTGAGCTTAAATGATATTAATATAAAAATTGTCATATCTATCTATCTATCTATCTATCTATCTATCTATCTATCTATCTATCTATCTATCTATCTATCTATCTATCTATCTATCTATCTATCNCTATCTATCTATCTATCTATCTATCTATCTATCTATCTATCTATCTATCTATCTATCTATCTATCTATCTATCTATCTATCTATCTAGAAGAATTTCTTTGTGCTATTAATCACTGACAGAACAGAACCCACCATGCAGGACTGAAGCTGCCCCCCACCCCTCTGTGGAGCTCTCCTGGGAGCCCATAATAATAAGCCATTAAACAGGCGCATTAGGGGTAATGAAAAGGCTCTTAGTGGTTTTTGCCACTGTGGGACACCTGGATTTGTCTCTGTGGAAGTGGGCAGCGGCTGTGATTATCTGATGGATCTGCTGCAGCAGTTCTGTGAGAGGAAGACGGGGGAATAAAACACCTATCACTGCTTTCAGGAGTCATTTTGGGTTTCTGGGTACCAGAATGTATAAAACATTACATTTCGACATCAGGTTTTAGAACCATTTGTTACAGAAATGTCCCTTAAGTCATCAGTATTTCACTCTGGAAATAGTTGTTACAGACAGTTGGATGTTTGTAGATTTACCCATGATTTCCACATTGATTTTATTAATAGAAATGTTGGACAATCATGTTTTTGTTTGTGTCTTTCTGCATGTATCTTATGAACCTAGACCGATTTTTTTTGTGAAATATTCTGAGAGATGCACCGATATGAATATTTCAGCAAATATCGATATCCAACATTATTATTGGTGTAATGGCTGATAAATGATATTAACCGATATCACTCAAACACACAAATTATTTCTATGCATAAATGCACACATACATTTATGTCTTTTGTCGAAACCGTTAAAAAATGACATGACTCTCTCAGTTTTTTTTTTTTAAAGAAATGAATAGTTTAAAAAATATATGTTACTCCTGGCTTTGCAGCATCCCTATCATGATCCAACCATTTCCCCTCCCGTAACAGAAACACAAAGCTAAAAAGTTGGAAGTCAATACTGGGCGTTAATATCGGCCCAGATTTAGCTGCTTATTGGACCGATGCTGATATTCTAAAAAAATTACCAATACCTGCCGATACTGATATTAATGTTGATATATCGTGCGTCCCTATTCAGAATGCAGTCATTAGATGTCCACGCTAATCAATGATGGCCAACACAAAAAACATCTCTTGGCTAAAATTAATTTGGTGTGGTAGAATGGTTCTGAGATCTGTCGCATCTCATGAGATCTGACAGTGAAGTCATCGGTTGAGGATTTAACTCTGTCCCTTTTTAAAGTGCCTGTGACGTCAATTTTTTTATTAAACATGTGAATGCATATTTAGAAAGCGGACATTGATAAAATATTGCAAAATAAATTTCATGTCGCTGAGATGAACATTTATTGAGATATTTGCCTGTGAAGTAACAGGAAGTGATGTCAAAGGGGAATGTGAACAGAGTGTTGCTACAACAGCCAACAACAGCAGCCTGTAGAGAAGAATCTGATGCTTCTTTAGATTATTTTGAGTCACAGTCAGAGAGAGATGAAGGAGAGTCAGAGTTCAAATAATATTATTTCCATAAATAAATACAGAGAGGTTTTTTTTGTTAAAGAGTTCCCCTTTGATGTCACTTCCTATTTCACTTTGGCTGAGCCAAGTTCAAAATAAAATATGCCAATTATGGGGCAAAATGGGTAAAATCATGTGTATTGTTCCAACTTTCTTAAATATAAAGATGTTTTCTTTGACTTTTTGTATTTGAAGAAAATGCATGTCAGGCACTTTAATACTAATACTAATACTAATACTAATACTAATACTAATACTAATACT